GCACTCGCTTTCTGCCCCAACAGCCTCCTCCCACCCCATCCTACAACACTCTTCCAAGGCCGAGCTCACAGCAAGAAGCCAAACAGCAGGAATGAATCGGTTGGCCAGAAAGAAACACGGGGACTTTTAGGGGAAAGGCAGCAAGGGAGCGGGGATGCTTAGATATGAGGTGAGCAAAAATCCATCAGCAATAGTTCAGTCCTGTGCCAGAAAAGGGATGGGAGCACTTGGCTCTGTCCGAATCATCCTCAGGTTCACCACTAAGCCCCCTCTTGGAAGCCCCATTCCTGCAGCTGAATGCCACGAGGGCTGCACCCCTACAGTGAGCACTGTGGCTCTCGCAGCCATAGAGGGACACCAGAGCCAGAAGGCTGAGAAAAAGAAGATCTGAACGAGAGCCCGTATTTGAACAGTAATAAGCAGGGGGAGATTCAGCAAATGCAACAAATGCTTGAACAGCAAGACACAGTTCAGATTGAAACAGTTGTCCCTGGGAAGTGGCAGGAGCCTTGTTGTGGGAGTCATGGCAAACCAGCTGCAGCAAGCACCCAGCACAAACACGAAGGCTAAGCGCTCCTTTTTCTCCACATCTTGGACTCTCAGAACAGGCAGACTGTCCTGAGCCATTAGAACTTCCTGTCCTTCCAGGAGCATTTGGCCATCAGAGCCCTGCAGCACAACCTTACAGTCAGGTGGCAGAGCTGCACGCTACAGGCAGGCAGACAGAGAAAGCGAGGCACCGAGACAGAGCAAGGACTGCCCTGCACCTCCTGCAGCCTTCAGAGATGCTGCACCAAGACCCTTCACCCCTCCACCCCCAACAGCTGCAGCCCCCAGGAGCTTCCTCCCTGCTTTTGGGAGACACAAGCAGCTGAGCAGAGCCACCCCTACCCCCCCCCAGCTGCACCAATCCTGACCATGCTCCGTGCCACAGCTTACCTAGGATTGCGTTTCTATCAATCACAGCTCACCTCGCCACCTTGACACTTCCCCCCTACCCATGAAGAATCCCTAAGGACCCCACTCAGAGCCTTTTTGTTTTGCTTTCAGGTTGTTTTTGTGGTATTTGTTCTTTCCTGTTGCTTTCTTGATCTTTTTCAAGGTGTTTTCTCAAGGACTTCTCACAGGCGCCATTGTCTGCTACTGCAGAGTCCTTGAAATCACTGTGATGATAGAAGCTATCTAAACCCTTAAGCTAAAACCAGGAGAAAATCTAAAAGGAACACACTGGAAAACGAAATCTGTCCTTGAGGCCAAGAGGACGTTTGCCAAAGCATTTCCTATCTCCCCTCCCCTTCCAAGTATTGCTGCTAGTGTGCTTGACCAGGAGAGCACCTTCTCTCTCCATGTGCCCACCACCCACACCACAGAGCACAGCAGTACCTAACTTACCCACATCCCTCTTCCCGCAAGATTTTTGGGGTAAAGACACATGTAAATAGCATTAGTTAGCATGCAGCACACCGACGAGCAGCGGGATGCCTTCCACGGGTCACAGCTCCATCTACTGACTATTTCCTAAAAGAACAGAGTGAAAACCCTGGGGAAGAGTCGCTTGAAAAGAGCCCCATCCTCTCGGATGGCTGAAGGCATTTTGGCTCTTGGAGGTGAGTGAGAAAGAATCCCTGCCCAAAAGGAGGACACGAATCCCTTTGCTCCACGAAGGCCTCTCTGCACAGCAACAGATGTGGGACTGCATCTGAACGCAGAACTGCAGGTCTTGAGATTGAGGTTTCCAGGGTTTTCACAATTGCCACTGCAGTGGTTTTAGCAGGAGACAGCAAACGCTCACAGCTCAGCATCGTGGCTCAGTTAGGGTGCAAGCCCTAAATGGAAAGCACTGTTTCTTGGCTCTGCTGCTATGTGAAATGTGGCAGCAGCTGAGCACCATGTGATAGGAGAAGAAAATGTCATTTTACAGAGAAACAGCGAGCCCAGAGCGGTGTCACATGTGAAGGCTGGGAAGATCAGGGAACTGGATGAGGATCACTCGAGCCGCAGCCCCCTGTAAGCACCGGGCCCTTCTCATGTCCCTGAACCATAAAGGAGATCAGCCCTCCCCTACACAGAGGAAAGAAGAATAAAGAAGAACACTGCCATGATTTATCTGCCCAGAGGGAAACAGGCTTCTCCAAAGCTCAGAGGAGACCTTATCCTTGCAAGCCTGGTTTGCTGATGAGGTCTCCAGATGAATTCTCTTCTGCTTACCATGTTCCACTGAAAAAGAGGCAGAACTGAATCAGAGGGTTTTTTTTTTTTACAGAGAAATACATACACTAATCTCTCTGAAATAGCAGCCCACCAGAAAGCTGCCCGCGAGGAAGCTGAAGATCACAGGGTCCGGGTTGGAGCTGTCACAAGACTGAAAGATGTGACAACAACTTTCTTTGCAGGCCATTACAGCAGCAATACAGAGTGCTGTCCTTTTGAGAGGCAAAGGGAAGGGTTTGAGGATCCCTGGGCTTTGTACCATGCACACACCTACCACGGGTGCATTAACACCTGAGCTCCCATCACTTCAGCCTGTACAGGCACTGCCCTCCCAGATCCACCCCTGCAGGCTGTTGCTGTGCTCAGCCCTAGGCAAGCACTGTGTTTACACTCCTCTTTACAGAGGTTGGGAGAACAGGAGGCACTTCAGCCCCACCAACCCCATTGACAAACCGGGATCACGGGGCCACAGCCTAACCAAGATCCTCTCTGCAGCTCTACAACAGCTCTAATCCATTGCAGGATCCAAGAAATACAGCTCCAAGGAAGGGGAGCAAACAAAGACAGGCTCACAGCCTTCCAGCTCTCACCTTCTCCTTCCGCCCGTTCCTCATGCCTTTCCTGCACACACTCCAAAGAACAAAAAAGGACAAATCACCTTCTTTCATTCTGGCACAGGGTACCTAACGTCACACTTCCCCTTCCAAATTCAAGTCTGGATTAAAGGCACACGAGCAGCACACTGACAGGAAGCCCTGCTGTGTGAAGCACAGCCTTTGCCACAGATCGGAGCTCCAAACTCAATCACACAAGCACTGAACTGCCCTTGGAGCAGCAGACAAAGCACAGACAAGAGACAGCCAATTCCTGATCCCCATCTGAAGGCAGATTTGCACAAGGCCAATGTTGCTGGGAAAGGAACGTGGCTCAAGGCTCACTGATGGCTCACGGAAGAGTCCAGGCTGTGCTTACACATCCTTCTCTGTATTCTGTCCTTTCCACGTTATTACTTCAGACAGTTCCACCAGAATGGGATCTCTGTCGCTTAGGAGCATATCTGCTCCCACTGCTTACCCTGCTCCTGAACTCATAATCTTATGTGACATCAAAATCATTTCCAGAGCCACCAGTTACAACGCCATCGAGGATTATGACTTCAGGTGCAGAACTTGCAGTGGGAGCAGATGCTCTGCTCAGGAAAAAAAAAAAAATACTTCAAAAATTGTTTCCATACAAATGTCTCTATTAATAAAACACAAAAGAAGAAAAGTAGCATGGCAGCAACAATTGTTGCTAAAAATATAAATGGTTATTGACATTTTCGTGGGGCATCTGCTGCTCTCTGCAGAGCTCCCAGGAGGTACAGAACGTAGTAAGAATTCATACATGATAAAGAAAGAGAGAAGGGAAGCACTGCAGAATAGCATGATGCAGCTCAGTAAGCAGACAATGGAATTTTGGCCAATGCTGCATTGGTATCTCCAGGAGGAAGGCAGAACAAAAAAAAAACAAACCACAAGATCTGGATCCTTGGATCTTTTTAAGGATCATAGAATGGGTTGCAAAGGAGCACAATGCTCATCCAGTTCCAACCCTCTGCTGTGTGCAGGTCACCAACCAGCAGCCCAGGCTGCCCAGAGCCACATCCAGCCTGGCCTTGAATGCCTGCAGGGATGGGGCATCCACAGCCTCCTTGGGCAACCTGTGCCAGTGCCTCAGCACCCTGTGTGAAAAACTTCCTCCTAAGAAGATCCTCAGAGCGCTCCCAGAATCAACCAAGGACTGACTGGACAGATACAAAGCCATCCCAAAAGAATGCAGAGCCTTCCAGAGGCTGTAACAAGCAATCCTGTGTGCCGTTTGATAGGTGGCTAATATAGTCGTAGGCTCTTTGGATTTGATCCTCAGAGACGAGCCAAGTGTAATAAGTCATTCTGAAGCTGGAGAAAGGCTGGGGGGAGGAGCACCCGTTAGGATGCAGTAACAACACCGAGCGATTCCAAATTTGCCAGAGCTTAACAGGGCAAAGCAACTGTAGGTGACAAAGAAAACAGATCGAAGGCGGAGAAAACGCTTTATAGAGAACAAACATCGTGCAAAGTCTGCTGCATGGGAGATATTCTGTAAGGACTGCCGCCACCAGACGACTTCAAAATGCCAGGCGTAATTAAAAGCTCTCTTTTCAGATGCAGTTCACGGCTCAGGCACCAACGTTTCCCACCACGTGAGCCTCAGATCGCTGCGAGGGGCCCAGCAAAATGCATTTAAGAACTGTCAGACTGCAAAGGCAGTTTGTAGCCAGCCTCCCCCAGCGCTCCCCCCAAAGAAAAACCCTTCACAACAAACCCTTGAAAGGCTTTGAATTGCGCTGCCAGGGGATTATCAGTAAGTGACATTTACAAGTGATTAGAGGACCAAGAATTATCTTAGTCACTTGTGGGAAAGGAGGAAAGCTTCAAGGTCAGACCTCTCAGTACTTAAAATGTCGGCAGATGTTTTGTTTACACAAAAAGTGACGTTTGATTTATGATGGAGCTTCCAGGGCTTCAGCTTAGAACTACAGAGAACACGAGTGGGAACGGAATCAAAAACGCATATCATACCTTCAAATATTCCACGGATCAGCTCTTATTAAACTAAGAGGCCGTTTCACATGCCAAGCAGTCACACACTACCTTTTAGCTTCCTGGAACAAGTGCTGCAAGCCATAGAAGCCTTGGCAAGAAAGGAAAAGGAGATAAATCCTCAACAGCTCCAGAAATCCCACACGGATCCCCTCCCGCACTCACCTCCGGACAATGGACTGCTGGAGATTTCTGCAGACAGTGAGAGATTCTCCCATAAACATGTGGCACATGATGACCTCAAGGCAGCTGGCCATGAATGACATCACTGCATCAGACTGCAGAGTCCCGCTCCTGGAGACGATGCAGAGCCGCTGGAGAGAGGAGCAGTGACTGAGGGCCTGGAAGAACTGGGAGCCTGCGCTGAAGTACGGCTGCTCCAGCCTGCAGAGACCAACAAAAGCAAGTCAGTGAGCAGCTCAGCCTTGGGTCGCTTTCAGACAAGGGAGAAGAAAGCACATCCATGGGGGTTTGGCCAACCAGCCTCCCACCATCTCACCCACACACACGAGAACTGTCTGCTTGGGCATTACAAGTTTGGCTTTGCAAACTCAGGCCTCTTGCCCCCAAATGTTGCAATCTGAAGGAAGGGGCACAAGCACAAGGAAAGGCCCTGCGCTGCAGAACCCTGTGGAGAGGCCCTGGCTTAGCAAGATTCCCACAAAACGTGTTGGCTAAGAGGGGCTTTGGAGCCAGATGAACTCCGCCCAGCTTTTGCTACCTGACAGAACTGAGCAGCCAGCATGGATTTAGGGACTCGTTGCTCCAGTGCACCAAGCATGGGTCAAACTGGTCAGCTTTAGAGAGAAGGCAGGCGTGAAAAATTCACAGCACACACGTGGTGACCTTGTGCCTCTGAGCCAACAGCAGCCACCACCAGCCCTGCCCATAGGACGGAAAAGAATCAAAGCTCTTCTCTCCCTCAGCAACAAATACATTGAGCCAACTTCCATCTTACACACTTGGCCAGGAGAACAGGGATTTTCTACCCCAGCACTCCACAGCCTCACCTCCCAGCCCTGAGCAAAGTGACAGAAAAGGCACAGTGAAGCCATGCTTGACCAACAAGGGCTCTGTGTTTTAACTAGCAGCCCATCCGGATGACTTCCTTGCAGAAAACAGTTTGCAGGACACAAGAGCTGCCTGGCGCTGATGCCAGCAGGAGAAGCACGCCTGCTTTGCACAGATTTACTACAGGACCTCAGAGCACGTGGGACTCGCAGTCATTGGGTCAGCAAGGCCAAGAGCTCCAGAAGGTTAATCCAGGAGGTGAGAACAAGCTGTCAGCCCCAAGCTGACCTCCGGATAATCTCTGTGTAGGTCTTTGTAGTCTGGGAGGGGTATCTCGGCAACTTAATCTCATTAGTTGATAGATTCTGTTTTCAAGTCTTGGTCGGAGACTGCCCGAAAAGATCCTACCATCTCTTCAGGCAATAGCTCAAAATGAAGGTGAAGGAAATAGGAAGCTTCTCCCATCTCTCAGCTGTGCGATTGGCCAACTGCCAGCTAAGGACAAAGCAGGGAAGCCCCGCAACCTCTCCGAAGGTTTCTAAGTGACCCTCGGTAGCACAGCCATACTTGCAGTACCGCTTCTGCCCGCTAGATGGCAGCGTTGCTTTGGAATAGCGCCTCAAATCAGTTTCTCAGCCTGGAAAACGGGCAGAGGAAGAAGGGGAGAAGAGCCAGAGAATCAGGGAAATGAAAAGGAAACTACGCTATCAGGAGTGAGTGCTAAGCATTAAAAACTTTTCAAACCTATATCAAACCTCAGGCTTCACTCGAGGTGCGATGACAGCTTACACCAACACACCTGGCTGCTGCAAGGAGACGGCCTTGCTCATCCTCCACCCAAGGCTGTGAGCAGTAATGACGGAAGCACGCACAGCCTCCATTTCTAAGGCTCTGGGAAACACAGAGCCAAGCCAAAGCAAAGCAAAGCAGCACTGCACACCGAAGGCTCCACCCAGACCTCGGTGGTTCCAAGGGGATTCAGCCCTTCAAGGTTAGAGATCCATTCACACGACCCAAGCCATTAAGCAGTCTGATCTCCACCAGCTGCTCCCCCCGGATGGCAGCAGCACGCTCCTCGCCCCTTGCAAATGGGAGGCAGTGAGAAACAAAAAGCCTCGAGATGTTTTAGCTGCCCCAGCTCCTTTCACTGCTGCAATGGCTTAGGAACATGCACACAAACATCAGCCTCAGCTGATGAAGAACAGTTTTGGTCATGCTGCAACGATCTTTGCAATCATAGCTATCCACCATGTGAGGATGACCTCGCTTTTACTACTCTTGTGCATTTTAGACATGTTCCTGTGAATAGAGAATGGCCACTGACCCAACAGGACCAGCATTCCCACCCACAGAAACTGCTTTGGGGAGGGGGAAGAGGAAACAAAACAGCACTTTTTCAAAGCAGTAACTCTGGGGTCGGACTTGGCAACCTTAGAGGTCTTCACCAACCTAAATGACTCTGTGATTTACAGACATCGTGTTTACCAGGGCAAGGAAAGCACCACTGTGAGATGGGTTCATAAGTTCTTTGGCAGCAGTGAAGCTCCTGTATGCATCCTTCAAGGTCAGATCAATGGTCTGAGAAGTGAACACCGACATGACAAATTCTACAGAATGCTTTCAACTTATTATCAAGAAAGGAAAAATATATGCAAAAAATAAGGAGGCAAAATCTTAAATATAAGCCAAAGGTAGAAAAATATCCCAGTGGGAAACCAAACATTATGTTAACTAGACACTGTAGGAGTCCTTTCCTTCCTGGATGTTCAATAAGTGCACACACACACACAGAACATAGCATTTCACCTAGCCCTGAGAGCCCAACACCTCCCAGATAACTTGGGTCTGCTTTTCCTTATCTAAAAGGAAGACAGTTGCAGCACAGAGACTTTAAGCTCTTAAACAGTGGTTAAAAGGCATATCCTGAGCCCTCGAAAACAGCACAAGATGCCTTCCTGTTTTCCACAACTCCAGAGGAAAAATAACTCTCAAGCCATTGCGGCCACTTCTGACCTGCTGCCTGAGCAGAGGATGACCAGCAGAGGAGCAGAGGACCGCTGGCAGTTTTTACACCAACCACCACAAAATAAGCACTCCATCACCACAGCTTCACAAACAGTGCAGATATTCAGTGGCAGCCCCTCACCTGAGATCTCTCAAACACTTGCAGTGCTTCAGCATGTCCATGAGAGCAGACATATACACCATTTTCCCCATCATGCCCAGGTTGGACAACGAAAGAGTCCGCAAATGCTGGCACTGCAATCCAATGCTAACAAGCCCAGAACCAGTAACAATATTTGGCAGCTGTGCTAAGGTGAGGCTCTGCAAATAAGTCAGCTGGCTAATGGCAGCCACCTCCGAATCCCCCACACTTTGTGCTCGGACACAAGGAGGCAGAGAGTTCCGAATTGCTGGCTCATTGCGGGGCATGGCAGAGGAAAAACTGGACCCAATTATTTCTAAGGTTTCCAAAAACCTGAGGCTTCTCATCAGCGTCCAGAACACTGAAGACTCCAGCTTCTGACATGCCTGGTCTGCTAAGTTCCTTGGATACGTCTGCACCCCCACACGGGTTTTCTTTCCAAACGTTTGGGGCGCCGCGTTAGGCTGCGTGGGGGGCTTTTCCACGTTCACAGCAACATCTGTGATGGAACAAACTGGCAGTGCTAGCGAGAGTAGGTGCTTTAGCCTGGACAGGAGCTGGCACAAATGGTTCCCTATGCTTTCTGAGCTGTGGTGGTGAGCTGCGGAGAGGTTGAGGTGTCTGAGGTTGCAGCAAGAGACTACCAGGCTTTCCAGAATGCTACTGTCAATGTCATCTTCTGCTCTTCGAAACAAAGACTCTGGAGCCAGGCAGTGAACACAGCCACTGAGATTCAAACTGGTCAAGCTTTTAAGGTCCTTCCCACCATTAATAACTCTCTGGATCAGGTGGCCACCAGATAAGGTGCATCGGCTAAAGCTGAAGTAGAAAGGGTTGTTGAACTTCAAGTGTTGCAGGAGCCCGGAACCATTAAGCCAGGCTTTGGGCAGCTGTAAAGCATCCAGGCGTACATTTCGAGCCATCGAGTCCAGAAGGTTTTTAGTGGCTCCCGTCTCAGCAAAACTACCAGGGGCAGAAATAAGGAAGGCGTGAAGGTTCTCAGGAGTCCGATCGCTCAGCACAGCCAAGTACAGCCTCACCACCTCCTGGTTAACATAGCCAGGGGCCAGCCTGGCGTAGAAGACACGAAGGTTCTGGTAGTGGGGCACATTGCTCTCGCCCACCATCAGCTGCCCAGACAGCATAAAACCTTCTCGCGAGCGATCGAGGATCTCAAAATAAAGCAGCAGTTTCTCAAGGCTGGTGCAGCAAGGAACAACGCCGTACGATGGAGTGTAGAGGGTCTGCTTCAGCTCTGACACGCGGCTGAGGGTGGCTTTGCACTCGCTGCTGAGCTGACTGGCATCAAAGCCCGGGTTCACATCAATCGCCAGGGAGCGCAGGTGCTGAAGCGTGGACAGCATCTTGGAGAGACGGAGAGAGGTGACACGGCACCCGGACAGGTTCAGCTTGACCAGGTTCTTGCACCGTGTTATGTGATCAGTAGTGGAGCTGGGCAGCCAATAGCACCCAGCCATGTTCAGCTGGTGAATCTCTTTTCCAATATCCCTCATCAGTTGCTTCACTTTGTCCTTGTTCACCTGGGCTCAAACAAAACCAGATTCAATGAGACACGAGACAGTCGCACGCAGTGGGTCAGTTTCCCATCTGAAGATGGGGACAGCACTGGTTAGCTCTCACCGTATGCAACTCATCCGAGGGTTTTGGACCACAAGCACATACCTCATTAAAGCATGGCTTTGTCAGCCACGCTTTGGACTCTTAAGATTAGAATTCCTTCAGCTTCTTAGTCTGCGCAGTTCTGCATTACCGACTGAGAGGCTAAACCTGTCCTCCACCCCACTGTCAGCTGCTGAACAACGTCCATTTCCCAACAGCTAAACTATTCCAGCAGAAATAGCTGAAACCAGCTGAACTGGTCGATAGCAGCACAAATTAAAAGAATACACTCATTCTCCTTCATCCACTTTCTTTTGGAAACAAATAAGAGAGGCTTCTCTTTGCCTACAGCTTGGTGATGCAGTCTTCATAAAACATATTATGCTTCATCCCTAAGTTTGTGTTACCAAAAGTATACATTTTCTGAATTAGCTGACTGCGTGTCTGACAAATTTATTTGCACAACACAGAAAATATTTACTTTCATTTTAGTTTCCATAAACCCAGAGAAGTTGCATAAAATACCATCAGCAAAAACTAAGGGAGCACAGAGCTGCCCTAACAAAGCCTTCTGGAAAACAAATGCTTTTATAAAACTGTTTATTGTTTGTTCAGTTTCAGAGTTCAAAAGCAGGACGTGCATGCAGACACACTGAGAAGCCCTACTTCTTGATATTTTTTCAAGTCAGGTTTCTCTTCATAGCTAATAGAAGAAGCAAGCTACTCTCCCCACCTTATAGTCTTTCTGAAGTAAAACTGTATGGGTTAGGCTCTTATCAAGGCAAAGCATTGAGAGCTTCCTGCAGGTCTTCCTGACGTTCAGGACCAGGTCTGTGCAAGGGACGTAGCTTAGGATGTGCAGAAGGATCTCATCCGAGAACTCCATCAAGTTGATACCATTACTTTCCTCCTCACTCTCCCCACTCACAAGATCCTAAAAGAAATAAGAGGGGGGGAAAAAAAGAGGAAAAAAGACAAAAAAGAAAAGCAACCAGCTCAGAGACTTCAGCAAATCTTATGAGAAAAGAGATACTCTGAGCTTCAGAGAGATTTGCAGAGTGAGACAAAGCAAAAGCAGAACACAAACCACCTGCCTTGAGAAACCGCTGCCCTTCCCTCAGGACACAGCAGCGAGGTACTGCAAAGCCTCACACAAAGCCATGGCAGCTTCACTCGCTCTCTGCTTTGAGCTGCTTCAGAACACGAATAAAAGTGTTTATACTCATTCCCCTCCTGCCACTCACTTTGCAATTGGCAGTGGCAGCCCTCAGTGCAGCAGGCAGTTCCTTCCACGTTTTTCCTCTAAGAGAAGCCCATCCCGATAACCTCACCGGTTATGTAACCGTTTACAGGCTAAAAAAATCCCTGTGCAGCCAGCATCACGCTGCCCATAGCCATCCCAGCGAGCTCACAACGCGGCCGCGGGCCCCAGAGCCGCTCGGGATGGCTGCAGTCCCCCAGCAGCGAAGCACCCGACGCCCCTCTGCTCCTACCTTTACCCTGGGGCTCGGAGGCCCGCAGCCCGCCGGTGGCTCTGAGGGCAGCCGGGCCTTCAGCTCCATCTTTAACGAAGATGAATCACCGTCCGTTAACACCGCGCCATCCCCGAAGGGCTGGGCTGCTCCTGTCCCACGGCACGGCCCTACACAACGGCCCGGGGTTCCCCAAAGGAACGCCAGCCACCCGCCGGCCGGGCAGCCCGCCCCCGGACCCGCGGGGCTGAGCCCACCGCCAACCCAGCCGCTCGCCGCGCCGGCTCCTCCCCGAGGGGCTCCGTCTCCCCCGAGCGCTGACGGCCCCACGGCTCACCTCTGCACGGCGCGACATGGCGGCAGCCGCGGGGTCCGCCGCGCCCGGCTCAAGCCAGCCGCCTCCCGGCCCCGCTCCGCAACGCCGCACGGCTCTTCCGGCGCTGCCATGACCCGGCTTCCGCAGCCCGCCACACTTCCGCCACCGCCATCTTGAGCGTGGCCACGTGAAGCAGAAGCGTGGGGGCGGCCTCTGCGCGACGCCATCTTGAGAGCGGCGCCGCCATGTTGGGGGTGGTAGCTCTCTCCTCCGAAAGGAAAGTCACTGGACATTTATATAATTAACCCGGACTTTAATGAGCTGAATCTTCCCCCTGTGGCTGCATTTCCCTGTGGGAAGTGAGCTTGACGTGTGCTGAGGGCCATGCGGAAGACATCCACAGCTGCTGTGGATGCAGCCATTCGTGTAACAGTGGGCTTAGCCCACTGTCAGCTCCCGGCCTCGAGAACAGACAAGACGGCAGAGCTGGGATTCCCAGTGTGTGCTTTGGGAATATTGTTCATAGAAAATGTGTTACAAACATGAGCTATGGAGGAAGATGACGAGGTGGCTGCTTTCTTCCTCTTTGCTTGCTGCCATTTAAGGCCATGAACAAGACTGGGGATCGGTGGGATTAGAGTTTAGGAAATATCGAGTGCCCGGGCCTGTTTTGCTTCCAGGCCTGTGAGCAGGATCCTGGCGTGCAGAAGCACACCCTCCTCAGCCCTGAGGTGCGGGACAACTTCAGTACGAGTACCAAAATTCACTTTTCTGTCACGTTTCAGTTAAACAGAAGATAATGACAAATTCAGCACAGAGGCCCCTCAGTCAGGGCTGGCTTGTTTGACATTTAAACAGAACACCAACCTACAGTACTTGCAGTCAGCGGGGAAAGCTGAGACCAAGGTGGAGAAAACTTGCATTTCCAGTGCAAATGTAAATAAGATCATAAGCAGAGCCCACAAGCAGAGTCAAAGCCCTGCCCAGTGCCAGGTCAGCTGGAGCAGCTGGTGTGAGGACTAGCCATGGTTCCCTGAGCCCTGGGCTGTCTGTGCACCAGGCAGCAGTTGCCAACCCCAGATAAAAGCTGGGAGCTGAGACAGGTTAAAGAACCTCTCCAGGAGAAACCACGCTCACAGCATTTGTAAGAGGAGCTGAGCTCGGTCTGACGGCCCTCTGAGCAAACGAGCAGTGTAGATAAGACATGAGGCTGAATACGAGGCAGCAGCAGGACATCAGATGGGCTGTAAAGGAGGAAGGAAGCAAACAGCTACTCTGAGCGCTGGCATTTCCCTTGATGGTTGCTGGGAAGCTGTCAGTGGGTGAGTGCAGAAACCTTCCCTGCTGCTCTTTAGTTCAGGAACGCTCTTCCCACCGCTGGCACATGGGAACCTCCTGTGAAAATGGCATCAGTTCAGTGCTGGTCTGTCTCCAGGCAGACTTTGATCATGGTGTGACTCATACAGTTTTCCTAGCCCAAAGAAGGCAGGTGCATACCGTGCTGTCCCGGTCCAGGAGGGCAAACAAACAAATCTGGTGCTGGTATCAAGATATTGTGTTCTGTACAGCATCTCTTCACAGTTCATGGCTGGACAGACCTGGTGATTTATTTTTTTTTTTTTTCCCCTGGGAAACTCTTGAGTCATTTCTCTCCTGTGGTTCTTCTTAACACTGATAAAGTTTGAACATCTCAACTTTCTGTCAGCATAATGAAAGCTTGGTGGTCAGAGCGCTTTGTATGCTTGGGCAAACTGCTGTCTCCACTGCTGTAAATGGTTTTCGGTGCTTGATACGATTTAATACAGTAAGGCCTGCTAAAGTAGATTACGGATGGGTATAATACAAGCCAGGACAGGCTTGAGGTCAGCATTCTCTCTGCAGAGACCAACTTCAAAGAGCAGGGCTCCTCCTCCAGCCGCTGTCTCATCCATGAACTGACACCAAGAAAAGCCCGTTTTCTGAAACCGTCACTTTGTGCCCTCAGAGGGGACTTCCACGAGGAAGCCAGTTGTGTTTGAACGTCCTGGGAAATGGGACATTTGCAGGCTGCCAGTGTGCTCTAACAAGAGGACAGAATCCCCCCCAGCCAGGGGCCATTTTTGGTCAGCGCTCCCTGACAAAGCTTGAGGCAGCCACACAAGGAGGCCCTTCAGGGCTAAATCCTGAGAGCTGCAGCCGTCTCCTTTGCCAAGGACATCACTAATTCCTGGCAGTGGCTTGATTCCGTAAGCAGCTCAGCGAGGTGACTTTCCAGGTCACCAGCTAATTGCAGGTGAAGTGCCAGCCACTGTCTCCAGCAGGAGCGAAAGTTGGGAGCTCTGAGGGAAGAAAAGGAATAAAACGTTTGCTCAGCTCCGTTCAGTTGAGCCAGTTCCCCCTGGGCAGTTAAAGGGAGGTGAGAAAGGGCTGGGTGGCCTGCAACAGTCTGTGGCTGATCCCTGCTGTCCCTGCAGCCGCAGAACTCCCAGCACATCACAGCCTAAACACAGAGATGGAGAAGCTATGGTTAAAAAAAATCCCCCATCTCCAATGCCCATCATTTCTGATAGGAAACCACCTGGCTCCCCTCCGCTTGTCGGAGTTGGGAGCAGTGAGTAATGCTTGCAGGCTTCCCTGCCCAGCACCACATTCTTTTCTCCAGCATGTAATGGCCCCAAAGGAGGCATAAAGTGAGCCTTGCTGGAGCAGCCTGCGGAGTAGCTGTGCACGCCATGGCCTCATGCTGGAGAAGGGGTGGGAAGGGCTGCAAAATGCTCAGCCTCATTTTATTGGGGGGCTGAACGCCTGGAGCAGCAAGAAAGATAGGAAGAAAGGAAAAACGAAAACCCTGTGAAGTGTTAACTGAAAGCTTTGCTTTCTGCTCTTTGAAGCATACAAAATCAGCTCAGCTCCCCGGCCCATTACTCTCCCTGCACCCTCTGCTCTCGACCCCAGGCACTTTGCAGCTCCTTGCCTTGCTGCCACCATCCTCTCCGCAGTTCTTTGTGCCTCAGCACATTTTTCACAGCAATCAGTGGTTGTTTCAGGGAAGACTGAAGGCAGAAGAGCAGACATGCCCCATTTCCCTGCCGCCATCTCCTCTCTCCTCCTGGCCTTTTTCCTGCTCCACTCCCACCAGCTCCCTCCCCAGCGGCTGCTGCCGCCTCCTCCTCACCCTGCTTCCCCAAGACCCCGGGTTATTAGCACAGTTTGGGCCCCTCCCCAACCAGTTACACCTTGCTCCTTTCAAACCAGTGCTTCCAGTAACTCATATGCCTGGCCCAGCGTCTGCACCCGCAGCCCTGCCAGTCTCCTGCCACACTAGCGCAGCCAGAAGGGAGGCTGAGGAGACAAAAGGAAGAAACCAGCAGGTCCACCCTGAGCACAGCGTGACGCTGGGGAATGATGAGGCCAGGCAGAGGATTAAAAGAACCCATGGAGCTTGTTCCCTGCCTTTCATCTGCTGTGAGCATGACACAGTCACAGCCATTAGCTCTTCAAAGCCAGGCAGGTTGGAGGAGCCTCGGGAAGCCAGCGTGTCCACAAGCAAGGCTGCGAGGACTTGTCTGCTTAGGCTAGCAATGCAAAGCGTCACCTGGCTTTGCTCTCCCTAGGCCCTGACCCTGCAGCCATGTCACTGCACCAGTGAGAGCTTCCTCTCCACACCCTTTCCCAGCCCCACCCCTGCAGTGATGTCTAACAGCCCTGCTCTCAAAATCCATTCCATCCACTTTGCTGAAGACTTTCTCCTGCCTCCACCTGAGGAGCTGCTCCACCCAGCAGGCAGCTTGCCTGAGCCCAGGCCTCCCACTTTCCCCAGCTGAAGCAAAGGCAGAGCAAGCTGCTTGCCTGGAGATACCTGAAACTGGAGGACAGAGGCCACAAGCGAGACACTTCTTGGAGGAAGAATAAATCGTCCCATGTCAGGAGCCAGCTGCTCCTTGTTACCATCACCACCCCACCGCTGTCAGGTCACACACAGAATGAGGGTCACAGGAAGCAGCACAGCTGCAGCCCCACTGAGCCCAGCTCTCTCCTAGAGCTCAGCCCACCCTCATCCAACCCTACAGAGTGCACTGATGGCAGCTCAGGACAGAACTGGAGCCAAACTCCTTGCTGAAGTATCATCATGGTTTATCCAGCCTGTGCACCAGACAGCACCAGTATGCACCCCCCAGATAGCTGATCCACACAGGCTGGGTAACAGCAGGAACCAACCGTCAAGAAACATCACAGAAATAAAAACCAACACCAGTCAAGCCTCTATTGTGTGCACTTTTATTTGAACTGGTCTTAAGTCAGTGTACAGGTAGCCCCTCCCTCCCCCACATACTGGCACTTTACTCCTAGGCTGTGGGGGACTGTAAAGCCTTCATTCACATCTATCACTGGGGAACACAGCCCGCTTGCTTGACAAATCAAAAAGGATCAAGTGTGTTTTGTTTTTAAGGCGGAAGATACAAAAAGACACTTGTTGGGTTACATAATTTACAGACAAGCAATTATCATCTAACACCAGTAATGGGTACTGGCTCCTCCCAGCTGGGCTGTTGCCTTCACAGAGGCGAGTAACTTCCTGTAACAATGCATTATAACAATATTTGGAATGACTATTAAAAAAGAAACAAATGTACAATCAAAGTCCTCAGATGCATTGTAGAACTTTGGGGGCGTTCGCTCCAACATGTTTCATTTTAAGACTGCTGCTGACACCTTCACCATTCCAGTTTTTTAATCCTGAGTCAAGCGCCAAAAGAAAAAACAAATAAAGCCATGCCAATCTCGTCTTGTTTTATGCGCATTTATGGGTTTTGTTTCATCACAAGGGTGTGGGTGTTGGTAACAGTCCGGTTTAGAAGCATTTGCGGTGGACAATGGAGGGTCCGGATTCATCGTACTCCTGCTTGCTGATCCACATCTGCTGGAAGGTGGACAGAGAGGCCAGGATAGAGCCTCCAATCCAGACAGAGTACTTGCGCTCAGGTGGGGCAATGATCTGCAGGAGAGAACAACTGGTCAGATGCAGTGTGATGGCACACACCCCTATGCACAGCCCTGTGGCACTCTGCTACCCAATTGCTTTATCTGGCCTTGGCCAAGGCGCTCTC